GATACGCACGGACAAGGTCTACAATTTTTTACTAAGGTCATTTTCAGGTCAGGTCAAAGATGACGTCACAGGGGTCGAAAAAGTCCAAATGGCAACGGTTGATCGTATAATGAAGTCATGTATGGTATATGGGGCCATTCCGACCCGTTTTAGTGGTAAAAACAGGGAGTTGATTTTTCCCCCATTGACTTATAATGGGGAGGTCGCGAAATTGACCTGACCTTAGGTCACCGACATCAAAATTCCGAGATATACAAATTGTAGCTGCTAATGACCTAATAACATCCTGCGACTTCCAAAGGCCTCCGACATCTACTGTAGCTCTGGCACGGTGACAAAGTTGCAAAAAAGTGACTTGAGATTGGGTCATTCAGTGACCTGGTGACCTGACCTTCAAAGTTAGGAGGTTCAAACTTGCACACCATGTGTAAAATTGATGAGAGAATAGTCGTACAAAATTTCGCGGCGCTACGCGCCGCGGTTTTCCCGCTATCCGCGAAAAACCTCAGGGGGGGGGGGGCGGATATCCGCCCCCCCGTCGGTGCGCGTGTTAAAACATGTGTCGCACATGCCCTTTTCTATATTTTGTTTTGGTGACCTGACCTGACCTGACCTTGACCTTGACCTTTGAATGATATTGTATGCAACGAATATTGTCTTGGAAGCCTAAGAACACGTTTTGGGCAATCAGTCTCAGTCCATTCTTCGGCAATTACGGTGCAAGGCCGATACTGTAGAAACTTGCATTTTGTACCCTTGACCTGACCTTGACCTGACCTCTGACCTACTGAAGCAAAAAAAATTTGAGCTCTTAAGATTCGCCTCGTTGAGAGCTTTCGATTGCCGTTTTCCCCGTCTTTCTACGACCATCGGTTCGGAAGTTAGACGGGGGGGGGCAGAATCTGCCCCCCCCCCCCCCAGCAGGGCGCGTATGGCTGAATAGCCCAGCGGGGCGCGGGTTATGAGTGGTGGAGAGTGACGGTGGACTTCACTGCCACTGAGAATTATTACAAGAGCTTTGCAAGGCAGATGCCTAAGTTTTCTCTGACGAAACGTGCACGCGCCGATATCAATCGGAGAAGAAATATCGCCAGCAACCAGCAACCTATTCATGATGATAGTGTTTCAATATCACGTCTTTGAAGGCGAAACGATGCACGATACATTCCTTCAACTTACGACATACGATATCCGTAATGCTCGCACATGAGCAGTTAATAATTCGCAAAGGTAGGCTACCTGAAGGGCATAGTGACCAGTTCCCAGCAGGTAATTCAGAGCAGGGTGGTGACTTTATTGGCCAACAGCTTGCCTCGCTCCATACATTACTGCTCGGGCCTCGGCCCAGTTACCCCTCCCTGTTCTCGTTCACCCCACCTCCCCCACGGCCCCCTTCCGCAAGGGTCACTGCGCCGCGCAGTCCGAACTTGATGGTCCGCCATAACCCCCGGTCGGTGAGAGCGAGAGCCCCCAGTGGGACAGGTGGGGCGGCACACTGGGTGCAGGGACTGAGTCACCGAGAGCCCCCAGTCGGACAGGTGGGGCGGCACACTGGGTGCAGGGAGAGCCCCCAGTGGGACAGGTGGGGCGGCACACTGAGCGCAGGGAGAGCCGCAGGGAGAGCCCCCAGTGGGACAGGTGGGGCGGCACACTGGGTGCAGAGACTGACCTCCGGTCACCGAGAGCCCCCAGTGGGACAGGTGGGGCGGCACACTGGGCGCAGGGAGAGCCCCCAGTGGGACAGGTGGGGCGGCACACTGGGCGCAGGGAGAGCCCCCAGTGGGACAGGTGGGGCGGTACGCTGGGTGCAGGGACGGCGGCGCCCGATACCCAGCCAGGCTCCCTTAGACGTCTCCTTCACTGACCCTGAACAGATTGGTGAGGTGGCTGAGATGGGTGCTCGCTCACCTCTCCAGCCTGCCGACCCTCCTCTAAAACAAACTGACTGACCCCAGCTGGCCAAAGAGCTGCAATCGCACCCTGCGTCCCTGGCAGCAGTGGGGTGCTCGGTCTCAGTCCCCCGGCTCGGCTGGCTCGGCGCCCGTCCGTCTCGGTTACGAAACAGCGCGTCCCTGAGCGCCGGCCGGCCGGCGGTCCAATGAACTCGGCCGTTCGAGCGCCGGATATGGGAGCGCTCGGTGCATTAGAGCTTATGCAAGTGCTCGGCTGAGCGATATTCATGGCCGCCATAACTCGGGTGATGACGCCGAGGCCGCCAGAGCCGGCTGGCGGTGAGCGGTCCGGTGTGAGCGGTGAGCGGCCCGGGGTCGGTGGGGCGGCGGCCGGCCGACCCCCGGTGGAGCGGACTGTGGGGCGGCCAGCCGACGCTCTGGAGGACCGGACTGTGCCATGAAGCGGCCGCCAGGCGACCCCCGGAGGACCGGACTGAGGGGCGGTTGAGTCGACCCCCGGCGGTCGGGGCAGTTGGAGAAGCTGGTGGTGTGAAGGCGCCAGTGGGAAGCCGATGTGACAGACCAGGGAGGCGGGTGAACTGTTCGGGAGTAGGCTTCCTGAAGGCTTCATCATAGAGGGTGGAGAGGGTGAACACTGAACAAGGCTAGTGGAATACAGCTTCGGACAATGTATGGGTTGAAATGTATGCAATTTCACCGCGGGCTAATATTTAGCAGGACTATCTTGAAATATCTAGCAGAAGCGCGGATGCTTTGTGACAGCATTTGGTAATAACTTATACCGTTGTCTGAATGAATCGGCTAGGGTGGCAGCAGGAGCAGCTAGCTGCAAGCCGAGTCGGGTCTGAGGTCAGTTGGGAGCGAGCCGCCGCCCTGCACCGGACAACTACCGCCCGGCGCCCGCCGGCTGACGGCCGCATGGGAACAGGTCAAAGGCGGCCTCCTTCACGCTGTAACTGGCACGTTTTGGAGACGGCCAGCCACTCTGAGGTGAAACGCACTGAAGCCTGACTTCAAAGACGCCTTATACTGCCGACCTCATTAATCCGCAAGACAAATGTATTCTCGACCGCAGCACATGTAGCGAGACTTAATCTTCTTAGCTCTTGTCAGTCAGTGCGCTCTAAGTCGCTGCTCAGGCGTAGGTACACATCAGCAGCACCTGTCTCAGAACTCCGCATTGTTTCAAACATGATTGCAGCGGTGACACAATGCATCGGGGTGGTAAATGGAACCGCGGCGTCCTTTACACCCAGTTATCTCCTATTGGTAACTGCTTTCTGCATTTGAAACATAAACCCGCGCCCCACTGGGGTCTGCGTATAACACGCCCTACTGGGGGGGGGGGCTATTCATAGCCCCCCCCTCCTAACTCCGAAACTACTGGGCCGATCGTCAAAATTCAAACGGCGTCTGATAGCCTCGGAAAAACTGTCGCGCGAAACCTAATTGCATTGACCTCGAAGTCACCGATGACGTCACAGGTCAGGTCAAAGTAAAAATTATTAGCATTTTGGCTTCTTCACGTTTTGGGCTCTGGCCGCCGTCTTACGAGTCAGATCAGGCTCATTTTTGGTTCACACACTCGTGAACAGATGCACTAGATACTCTGAGGGTACCAAACTTGTACTTTGATTTTCAGGTCAAGGTCAGGTCATCACAGGTCACGAAAATATGATATCATCCGTCGGTCACGTGACACATGTTTTATGGTCCATTTAGGCCAGAGATTTCGAATTTGATGTCGTTTGTGTCATTCGAGGTCATTTTGAGTCAAATTTAGCTCAGGTCAGGTCACTTTCAGGTCAAAAAAGGTCAAATTTTGAAGTTAAAATTTTTCAACAAAAAGGTGTCTATTGGATGCAAATTGAGCTCAGGAACACGATGGTGCTATTTATATTGGCGTACGATGTCAAATTCATGCTGAAAAATTGATTTGAAAAATTAATAATTGTTACTTTTTTGCAATAATGCGTATAACTTGGCCATTTTTGAAGATATTTAGCTAAAACTTCCTAGAGTTAGTCATAATAATGCGTTCTATGACATGTATTCCGGTTTTTTCGAAAAGTCAAAAAAATTTTTGAAAAAAATGTAAAAATATAAATTTTGAGTTTTATTATATGAAATTTTCGAAATTTTCAAAATTTCGAAAATCCGAGATAGCAGTTTGATAGCGCAGTCTATTCTGAGTCCTCTCATGCAAAGAAATTGGATCTAGCTTAAAAACTGAGCTCTTGGGAGCGATTGCCGTGGTTCAATGTTTTGCGTCGAAATCGGCCGAACATGACGTCACTCTGACGTCATTTCCGGCCGACCTATGGTAGGTACGAAGTTCAAATTTTGACACAAGGTGTCAAATTGATGCAGCCGAAGGTACTGAAAGTTTGGCGTCGATACGTCAAGCGGTTTGGAAGTTATTGCAGAAAAACGGGAGGGGGGGCTATAAATAGCCCCCCCCAGTGGGGCGCGGGTAAAGGAATATTTGATGGGCATTGAATCTCTCTATTGGCAGTAGAGCTGAAGTTATGCACAGCTGTTTGATACAGCGGCTTGCTAATGCTACGTCAGGCATTGTACCAATTCGCTGGGCCAAGGGGATTTGGCACGCCGTGCCAGGCGACCTCATTTAGCCGACAGAAAAGCCGCTTACCAGGTGGCTTTACACATCAGCTTAATGTCGGAGCTATGGAAATAAAGATGCTTAGCGTGTACCCGGCACAAGTGGCCGACTGGTAGCGGTCAAAGGGGAAAGTGGCTCCTCCCCGCTCAATTTGTGTGCCTGTATGTGTGTTTACACATGTGCTGTCAGTTACTGTTTGCAGATAAATACGAGTGAGTTTGATATAGTTTTTTTTTTTTGCACGCACGGGATATTATTTTTAGACATGTTAATTGCCCCCATGTGTCATGTAATACCTGCCATCGCCCATCTTTTCTTCAGACATTTCGGCTAGGACCGGCTCCAGGCCCTTGGGTTTACTATTATGTAGGGGTTTCGTCTTGAGTCGCCGATCCGTTCGCGAAATAACGCTTATACCTACCATCCGCCTCTGGTGTGTTTCAGGTACCACGACACGAGGAGCCACACAATGGACTCTGTGCTCTCGGAAACCTCCAGCGAGGACAAGCTGAAGCCGCTGGTCCCCTCCATCATCAGAACAAGTCAGTATTGCCGCCGACGAGCGATAGCCAGCGTGATGCCCAGAAAAATAGATACTGGGCTGAATGATGGGTCTGGATGCATAGTTCAGTCAACACTAGTCACAAATGACGTCCCTTCGTAGGATGATTTGTTTCATGTTTATATTTCTTTCAAAACTCAAGACAGTGCCATTTGTCTCTTGCAATGGAAAAATCTTAGTTGATTGCCATTGAACGTTTTCGGCTGGTACAAAAACCAAAAGCCGGATGTTGCTGCAAACATGGGAGAATGTCTGCGTTACATATATCTAATCTATGTATTTGATGGTAAATGTTGTATTTAAAATTTTCAAATTTATTTAGGTACCTACCTGTACCTAAAGGGTAAATGTATTTCGGTTTCAATACCTATCGGTGTTCACTGTTCAAGTAACATCATATGCTGTCTTCCATCATCGATATTTGAAAGGCATGCCGCAACTACGATGGTGGTGGGAAAATTTTTACATCTTGAAAAATAAAATAGCAGGCAGTAGGTACAGTCCACAGCAGAAGTAATGTGTGGTTTCAGTCATGGGTATGTTCTGCTTCTGAAGCTTAGGAACGATTAGCCAGACTACAATGAAACTTTGAATGTAGCTTATATGTATCGTCACCCTTGCAGCTGCAACTTTAGCTATTGACATCTTCTTTTCGATCACTCCGCATTAAACAATCGCCAGTCAAAGCCAACCGTTGAGATTGGTAAAACCCTACATTACTTTAGCGGTAGGCTGTACTTTGCAACAATATCCAATGACAAGTTCTTTTAGACATGAGAATAGGCCCAATGGCCCCGCCACAGAGATGGTTCTCACTTTATTTACCTCCTTTGCCCGTTGCTGAGGACCAGAGGGGTACGACCGAGTTTTCCTGGTTGGCTGCGTCGACACCTGTTCGTTAATCAGTTCCGACAGAGGCTGTCGGGCTAATCGCTGCTCGGCTGGCGCCATTTTCTCGGCGGGGACCGCGCCCATTAACGCTGAGCTGACGCTTCACTCTAGAAACGTCGCCGGCGGTGCGCCACAGGTCAGGTGTTTTACTATGTAGGGGCCAAAGCCGAAGTAAAACCGAACGCCTACAAAGGAAAGCCATGAGTCCATGGGCAGTGAATACCTTTTTGAAGTAACGAGCTCTAATAGGTATGTAGCTGTGAGATAGTGGAGTAAGCAGTGTTCCTTTCGCTTCAAATACAAATCGATTAACCAAATGAAAAATATGATTCCTATCTAATGATCATATTAGTCAGTCCATTTATCTAATATCATGCATACTATGCTACTGGAAGATTTCTCCTTGTTTACAGCTGTAACATGAGCAAGATAGGTATTGCAAGGCGCTTGCCTCGTATAGGTGACGGGCGCTGCAATTCATAATTTCTTGCATTATCAAGTGTCTGTGTGAATATTTGTGGGTTTAAATTCCGTTGAGCATGTCTCCTTGGTAGGTCTTATCCTGTTATCCTTATCACTTTTGCGCCGCCTGGGCTGTCCGGTGCTTGACTTGCAGAGAACACTGCGTGCGTAGTGCATGTCGAGACGTCCATTATTAACGCGGATTGGGCTTTCCACCACCCTGAGGTAGGCACAGAGCTCCGTGGAAGACATTTGTCGGACACCGTGGACCGAGCCGCTGGTGGCTGCCAACTCCGACCGTGACCGCCGCCGGCCACTGGTCTCACCGTGACCTGACTGACGGTGCGGCGAACGGGTCCGACCGCACACCGCCGAAACTGATCAGAAATGCAGGTGACCGCCGGAGTTCTACGGACGACTATCGCCCGCCGGCCGGTCCGTGCGGGTATTGAGCGGCGCCGGCAGAGCCGTGTTCCCTGCGATAGACACATGGTAGAGCCGTATCCTCTGCGATAGACACATGTACCGGCACCAGAGCTGCTCAGTGACACTGCGCGAGCATCCGAGGGAATGATGCAAAATTATTGTCCAGATTGAAAATAATCCACTCTGAATTAATCGCTTTTAAATTCCAACGGATACTTTTTAAAGTAACATCTTAAGAAAAATGTCAAAGTGAATCCCAGCCAGCCGGCAAGTCGGTTCGGAATCTTCTAAGTAAATACAACCAAATGTAGGTATGCTCTTATTTTGAAAGCATCAAAATTAGTTACAAGCCAATTCAATTACTCTTCTAACTTTTGAGTCCACACGCTGCATTTCCATTCAGTCTCGCGTTCTTCGTGAATGTTGCGGCCAGTGCAGCCGCCCGGCAGTGCAGTGGTGGACGTGAGCGTGTATAGGCTGTACCGCCGAGCAGAGACGTCGTACGGCGCAGTATACCTCCCAGTGATTTCAGCCGAGCGCGCCGCGCCGCACTGACGCACTATGTTTTAACTCGGGATCAAAACTGGCCAGGGCTCGTAACTAAGAAACTATATGAGATACAGACGTGTTTTTGGGCTCAAACGAAACGTTGGAGACTAACGATCATTTAAAGTGCAAAATGTGTCGGACCAGATGCTTATGTACTTGTTTATGACGTCACAAGGGTCACGAAACATATACAAATATTGTGTCATATTCTAGCTATGAATGCACGAGCATTTAGGTGTCTGTAAAGTTGTAATCGTATCTGTAAAAGTAATCGTAAGTCTGAGCAAGGCTCATCGACGAGGCAAGTCAAGGCTGAGGACATGACCTTGTTAATTAGCATTGATGACCTCAGATGACCTTGAATGCTCTTATATAGGACTTATTCATATAGGACCTACGTCCTACAATCTTTATATTTATTTCAAAAACATTTTCAAACGTATGTTTTGATATCAACTTGATGTTAACCCTGTCTCCACTTTAGTAAGTTCAGAGTCCTGTATGTACCTATGTTTACGTCACATGACGTCAGGGGCGGATCCAGCTAATCCGTTTGGAGAGGGCAAAAGTTTCCGACCCATTCGGTGACCTCGACTCACCGCCGCGCCGGTGACTTTACAACGCTTCACTACGTCTGCAATCTGCATGTGTGCAGTTCAGGGAGTCCCATCTGTTATCAGCATACCGACCTAAACAATGAGCAGCGAGCGGTCAGCTCCATCTCTCAAAATGATTGTGACAAAAAGACCTGCTTTTCGTCCAGATAGGCATCGACGCTGTATTATATTTCTCATCATTAAGAGCTTTGGGAGCGGCAAAAGGATAGTCTTACCCACACTATTCAGCTATGGGGAGGGCAAATACCCACTAGTTATGCCCTTCACTGGAGCCACCATCGCATGACGTGAAATGGTAGAATGTATCCCAAAATTTCTTACCAATTCCTATTGTATGGTGCGTTATGTAACATGCAACGTGCATGTAAAAGCACTTCATTGCCATACTAACTGACGCTTACTGCAGCAAACTGATGCTTTTTCATAAAGGTGGACAGTACTAATGATACCATTACCATACCACCTACATCGAACGTAGTAATACTGACTGAAGAGGCCGATGGTAACCCTGCCGAACGCAAACAGGTAATGGACGACCAAAAGCCGATCATCGTGATCAGCGGTCTGTGGCAGGTCTCATACAGTCACCTTTCAGCTCACAGTCCCATCTTAAACTGGGCACAATGAATATTTAATTGCGCTTCATCAGGTACTAAAATATGTTTGTAAACTATCAAGGAAGCATGTGTAGCGACCATACAGCTCCAGAGCCCATCTATGAATTTACTGCAATAGCCATGGGGTGAAAGGTTCCTGTTATAGACCTATAGGTACTATACTTAATTAATTACACCGATAATGCTGTTGATATTTAAGAAATGTATATTTCATAGGAATGCTAGCAGTTTTTGAATGAACAACTGTCATTCACCGACATTGTCCGGTCTCCGGTTCCGGAGACCAGGGCTGCGGAGTCGATGGATTTTCGGCGACTCCGACTCCGACTCCGACTCCGGCTTTCAAAAACCAGCTCCGACTCCGACTCCGACTCCGGGCAGAATTGTCGACTCCGACCGACTCCAACTCCCGACTCCGACTCCGCAGACCTAGCAGGGCTGCGGAGTCGACAGATTTTCGGTGACTCCGACTCCGACTCCGGCTCGGGTTTCTAAAATCGACTCCGACTCCGACTCCGACTCCGGTCACAACTGTCGACTCCGACCGACTCCGACTCCGACTCCGACTCCGCAGCCCTGCCGGAGACCCTTTGTTTTCTTCTCGCGACACATGAAAATGCAGCTGGCACGTGTCGTAGGGGGTCGTGCCGTCAGCTGATTACGCCCCAGGGTACGGCAGGTCGCACACAGGTCGGCGACCTTCCATGGGACACCAACTCGTCACAACAGACGAGAGAATGAACGAGGAGCACTAGCATTTTCCCTTGACGCACGCTAGCGACCGTCCAATGGCTCAGCAGGAGCAACGTGGCTCGTTCAAAAAAGTGTTCACCCCCAACACAGGCGCACTCAGGCGCAGCTGAAATTTTGAGGGCATATAGACAACTCCTTGACCCACAGTATGGTGGTAGTCCGAGACCGTACACTAGCGTACAATTTTTTGTAGCTCTATTAGAACATTGACATTTTTCAAAAAAAGTGTGCCAATGTAAGGGCTGACGGAAATCAATAAATGTAACACATATATGCATTATAATTATACAAATTATGACTCATTACAAAGCCAAAAGCTCGCGCTATCGTTTGGTACCCAAATTATATAGTTTTGTCAATCCAAAGCTCGACGATGTTGACGTGAAGCAAGGCGACTGTTTCTGCGTTTGTTCGCCAAAGTTTAGCTTTCGAGAATTGTCTGACTTTGTTGTACATTTTTAACGTTTTCAAAAGTAAGGAGAATAAAAGTTTCCGTCGTTAAAGATGCTCTGATCATTTTTGAACACGATAGTGGCCAAATGAAAACGTTTAAAAATAGTCGATATTTCGCGTCCTGGCCAGTTTTTGGCCAGAGTTAAAACACGGTGTGACGGGGTGGCGGGCTGCATCTAACGCCAGAACAACGCGAACGGAGGGGAGAGATCAAACTACGCTTTTTTTGTTTGAGTGGGCAAGGCGTGATGAAAGATCATGATCGGTAGTTGCTGAGCGACAGCAATAGTTATGGAGTCGTAGAAGGGGTCGGATAATATTTGGTTGATATATTGAGCCGAGGTAGGTACAGCAGAAAAGTTGTTCGGTGCAAGGACGAATAAGAAAGCACGTTTCGGTACATCGGTATCGCTCTAGGAAGGACCGCAAGGCCCTATCGACCTTTCAGGCGTGAGTTTCATCTAGCCTGGTATTAGATAACAGACCCGGCCACCATTTACCTTTGAAGTCATTAGAGACTAATGACTAATGTCGCTCAGTGACGTACCAAGAACTGAAATGGCAGTGCAGGCCCGTTATGTAATCCGTAGCATGCGATATGATCAATTTCGCCCAGTGGCGAGTTTCTGTGTCTGTTCTATTTCGTTCAGAAAACTGAATACCAGTCGACGCGCGTTGTGTTGAGCCTCCTTTTATGACTGTGACGTGCTGCTATGTCATTTTGAGTGTGTAGCACGACTCTGCCGTGTGAGCAAAACGATGTGATAATTATCTCACCGACACTGTCGCTGACCGGGCCGTTCGTAAGGTATGTTAATCGGCAGCCAGGCGTTTCATGAGTTTGTCAGGTGTGCGTTTGTCCCTCCTCTGACCGCTCGTTTCCTGTGTTTGTCACGCCGCTGACAGTGTGTTTGTCGCGCCGCTGACCGGTCATTCCCTGTTTGTCACGCCACTGACACTGTGTTTGTCACGCCGCTGACGGCTCGTTCTGCGTTCGCCAGGTGCCTCGCCGGGCGCGGTGTCGCCCCAGCCATCGCCGGCGTTCGGACGCGGTGTGCGGCTCACGCCTAGTACGCTGGAGGCCTCCCCGTCCTCCACCTGCGAGCGACACTTCTTCCCGGGCTTCGACGACTCCCGATCGTACACAGGTCAGTGGCGTACACAGGTTACGGTCGTACACAGGTCACAGACAGACACAGGTCAGTGGCGCACATACACAGGTCAGTGGCGTACACACCACACAGTTCACGGTCGTACACAGGTCATTGGCGTACACAGCTCACGGTCGTACACAGGTCAGTGGCGTACCTACTACCACACAGGTTAGTGGCATACATACACAGGTCAGTGGCGTACATACACAGGTCAGTGGCGTGCAGAGGTCAAGGTCGCACACAGGTCAGTGGCATACACAAGATGGGGTCGTACACGGTCACGGCGGTACAGTCAGGTGATAGGTCGGTGGTATACACACATGTCTTAATTACGACTACAGGGTGGACCAAAAAGGATGGAAACATTTTGAACTCGCATACAATATGTGTTATTGCATGCAGGTGACTGAAAATGATACCAAGCGAGAGCACATTTCGTGGAAATTCATAATGACATCTCTCTCACCTGCTTTCTCTCGCTTTCAGTCTCCCACAGCAAATGTTCGAAGAGGCCACTTTTGCGAGACAGGCAAAGAGCGGCCCGCCTGGCTGCTGACGCGATAGCCCGATAACACATGTCCGCTGGTTTGGCTCGCACAGCCTTGGTGATCGCTCTCTTCAGATAACAGATGCCTTTAGAATCTTCCTTGTAGACCTGGCCTGAGGTGACCCCACAGGAAAACATCCATCGGGGTCAGGTCAGGTGAGCAGACAGGCCAGTTCCGACAGGCACTGCGGGATATCAGCCGGTCACCAAAGTGGTTCTCGATCCACTTGAGCGTTGTTTCGCGATGTGAGGAGGCGCACCGTCGGGGTGGAATCATATGAGGTCCATGAGACTGCCATACTTCGTTTGGGCTGCTTCAACAACTTCTTTAGCGTCGCTTGGTAGCGCTTTTGGTCGTCAGCCACGGTGTTGTCGCTCACATCCTCGAACTGAAGTGGAACTGGCCTGTCTTCTCATCTGACCTATGGACTCCTTTCCTGTGGGGTCACCTCAGGCCAGGTCTACAAGGAAGGTTATGTAGGCCTCTTTTATCTGAAGAGAGCGATCACCAAGGCTGTGCGAGTCATACCAGCGGACATGTGCCGTCGGGCTATCGCGTCAGCCGGCAGGCGGGCCGCTCTTTGCCTGTCTCGCAAAAGTGGCCTCTTCGAACATTTGCTGTGGAAGACTGAAAACGAGAGAAAGCAGATGAGAGAGATGCCATTATGAATTTCCACGAAATGTACTCTCGTTTGGTATCATTTTCAGTTACCTGCATGCAATAACACATATTTTATGCGACTTCAAAATGTTTCCATCCTTTTTGATCCACCCTGTATTATGATGGGAATGATAGTTTTATGATAAAGAGACGGTGAAGGAGAATTCGTAAACTTTAGTACCTAATAAGTCATTATACTCGTAAGCTGTACTAAGGTCAATTTCCATTTCCAGTATCTTCCAGTTATGGTAAGGCCATAAGTTGCATACAGCTCGTCACGCCGTGATCATAAACCATGGGTGATGGACATTTCATAACTGAAATAATTTCTCGATTGCGCTCACTTTTCGTGTGACCTTTAAACGCCAATGATTCATGAATATTTAACTACCAATTTGACGTTACTGCGTTGACGATTAAATATTCGTGATTGATAGCAGGAAAAAATATAAGTTGTATAGGTTTATGGTATTGGAAGAGGAATCTACATACCTTGACACATACAAAAGGGCCGGGTCAGCTGCGGTCACCAGCGCAGTGGCTGGGTTTGTGACCTGTGTCGTGTGTTCCGGGGTCTCCCAGTGACCCGTGCCGTGTGTTCCGGGGTCTTCCAGTGCCCTGTGCCGTGTGTTCCGGAGTCCCCAGTGACCAGTGATCTGTGTTCCGGGGTCTCCCAGTGACCTGTGCCATGTGTTCCAGTGTCTCCCAGTGACCCGTGCCGTGTGTTCCGGAGTCTCCTGGGCCCAACCTCACCAAGCTAGTTTAACTAATTTCGGGGTAGTATTTTTGTAGTTACGGAGTGGGGTAGTTTGGTATTTTACCCCAAATTGAGTTTACCGCACTTGGTGAGATTGGGCCCTGTTCTGTGTGTCTCGGGTTCTCCCAATGACCTATGACCTGTGTTCCCGGGGTCTCCCAGTGACCCGTGCCGTGTGCTCCAGGCGCGCCGCCGCTGAGTGTCAGCCCGTCGTTCCACCGGGCCGGCGGCAGCAGTCGTCCCTGCAGTCCGAGCCTGCTGTCGCGGGACGCGCCGCAGGACCTGCTGCTCGCAGAGATCCGCCGGCTGCGAGAGCGACTCACAGAGCTCGAGGGCGAGAACCACTCGATGAGCATGAAGCTGAGCGCGCAGCAGTGGGAGGTGGAACACCGGCTGGCAGAGATCGAGATGCAGATCTGCGGCGGCAGCTCGGCCGGCAGCAACAGCGAGGACAACGAGAAAAACCAGGAGTCCGCCATATGAGCGAGAGAGGACAACGACAAAAACCAGGAGTCCGCCATATGAGCGGAGTAAACCGGCAAGGACAACAAAAACCAGGAGTCGGCCATATGAGGGGACAGCGGCGGATGGCGGAGGAGGGCTGGGCCCGTTGAGGTGACGGGGAGTGGTGGGGTTGGCGCTGAGTGGTGAGGTGTGGGCGGGTGGTGCTCTGAACCTCTCAGGAAGGCAGACCGCGGCCAGTAGAGACGGTGCTAGCCAGGACGGTGGGCCGGCAGCTCTGGCGAAGCGCACAGCAGATACTGGAACGGTATGTCTGACGACTCGGCGACAATGCGTGCATAGTTTTGTGAGGGATGTATTCCATTGTTGCTGCCGCAAACCGTCCCAAAAGAAACACTCGCTCTCACCTCACAGTCAACGCGCAGCCAGCCACCATCGCCTGAGAGTAGTGGCTGACAGGAGTGCAATCAGTTGACGCAAGAAGGCTCAATGCTGTTTGCATCACATACCGTTCATTCACACTCACATCGGGGAACCACAGCCCACTGTATCGCACAAAACGCTGCTCGTTAAATCGACGGCCAGCTTCTGCGGGTCATGCTCCACCAAAACTGACATCTTCATTCAGACCAGCCCTGCTTGGGACGAGGCGACCCGACTCAATGCAGCCGAGCTGAGCGCGGCCCAGTCCAACTCAGCTGAGCGCAGCCCAGTCCAACTCAGCAGAGCCGACCCAGCCAGCTCACGGGCTCAGCTCACGGCGGATCCATTTTAACACCAAAGCAACGGCCGTGCCGCTGTCCGCCGGCACCAACCACGGCACGAGCTTACAGCGCTCGTATGAGCTTACAATGGCGCCGGTCCGGGCGCCTCTCTCGGCGTCTCGAGCTGGCCTCAATCGGACACAAATCGGCCGCTCTGTGGCCGCCGAACGGCCTCCGCGCCGGCCTCCCAGGGGCAGTAAAGACGCTGCCGAGGCCGCGGCGCCGCAGCCGACAACAAATGGCCGAAACATCCTCCCAGCGGCCGAATGGCAGCGGAATCCGTCGTTAATGTCGCCACGAGTTGGCCAAGTTGGCGGCATCGCCGCTTGGTTTGTTATTTCGAGGGACCCAAGGAGCTCGTCCGGCCATCTCGCTGTGGACAGGGTGGTTGAGAACAGATTTACCAGCGCCAACAGCTGGTGTGATGCCCGGCGGCCCGTGTGACCTCCCCTGACGACAGACTGGTCGCTGGATGGTCTGTGACACCGACGACAGGATCACCCGTCCGGTCTGTCACCGTGGGTCAGAGTCCCCCTGTTCCTTTCTTCCCTCCGTGCCGCATGGAAGCTCACTCTTTCTGTCACGTCCCTCTATCCGGGGATTACTGCAAAGCCCTGTATCTACACCTTTGTCTCCCAAAGGCACACCAGGCTTTCTCCTAGCCGCCCCCACAACCGCCACGCTACGGTCTCCGCCTCTGCTTCTAGCCAAACCGCTGCCACTGTCTACCCTCACCATTCCCCAACGACCCCTCCAAAGCCGCCTCCGACACCCCCTACCCGCCGCGGCGGCGGCTGACCTTGACCCGGTCAGAGGCGCGGCGCCGCTCGGCTCTCGTCGCCAGCCGGCGTCGTCATGGACGGCGGCTGAATAGACTGACCGGCCGCCGTCGCCGTCGCGTGGGGTGCCGACGTGCGGCGCGTCCCAACAAGGCCGGACCGCGGCGCTGGGGGGGGGGGGCAGCCGTCAGCTGACTGCGGCGCGGGGGGGGGGGGGGAGATGGCGCGGCGACTGGCACGGCAGTGATTTGTAGCGCTGTGGATGGCCCGCTGATTACGTTCGACACACGACTGATGACCGCACCACAACGACGTTTTGAAGACGACCGATTGAAGGCAGCCGGGCGGGTGGCAGACGACGAATGGGCTGGGCATTGTGGAGACGGAGGGCGGACCAGAATCGGGAGAGACGGGGAGGGAGGGAGGGACGACAAAGACAGGGACAGACAGACAGACAGGGCAAGGCAGTACATATCTGATATCGCAGGCCGCAGTCATATAGCAGTAGCCTAGCGACCGATAACTGACGAGCGAGGGACGCGACTCGAAGGATAGACGTTGACTGGACAGCGTAGTTCATGGTTTGCCTCAGCATCCTGCACCTTTCCAACCCATCGCCGGCATATTTACCACAACGACCCGCGGCGCAGTACGCCTCCCTGCAGAAGGACCACGCACCCGTCCACTAGGGACACATCTCTCCTGCCCTGCTCTCTATCCCTGCCCCTGCTCTCTATCTCTGCCCCTGCTCTCTGCCCGTGCCCCTGCTCCCTACCCGTGCCCCTGCTCTCTATCCCTGCCCCTGCTCTCTACCCCTGCCCCTGCTATCTCTGCCCCTCTCTCTTCCCCTGTCCTGCTCTCTGTCCCACGCGATAGCCGGCGGTCGGTGGTGTCGGTATCCGTACCTGACCCGGTGTACCGACCGGTCCCAGTCTGACCCCAGGGACCCGGCGATGGATGGGTCACCCCACCCCTCTCTGTACTGACACCGTCACCGGGCAGAGGGGCGGAGCGCCGGCTCCCCACTCTGCCCCACCTCCCACTGCGGCACCCACGCGCCGGGCGGCTCCTGCAGCGCGCTGTGCGCTGGCGGTGACCTTTCCGCGCCGGCCGGCGGCCGATCGGCGCCGCCGGCGGCACGCGACGGCCGCGGCGGCGCCGGCAGACGCCGCCCGGTGTCACCGCGGCGGCTAATACCTTCCGTACACACGCAACGTGCCGCCGAGCGGGGCTCAGCGGCGCGCCGCGGCGCCGATAATGAGGTCCGGTCGATGGCGGCCGGTGACACGGCACGTGTTGCGCGACACGGCCCGAATGGGTGTCATCCGAGGTAGGTAACTGGTGACATTGCTCCGAATGGGTGTCATCCGAGGTGCTCCGAAGCGGTGTCAAATAGTGACACCGACCCCAACAGGTGTCAACTGCAAACTGGTGACACGCAGCCCACTCTGAGTGGCAGGGACAAACACGATAAACGTGGGCTGGGTCGGAAGGCTCAAGACACCAAAGCTGAGATCGATACAAATGTAAGAGTACTCAATGGTATCACCGACGAATGCGTGGTATCCCAGACCGTGGCGAATGTGAGCCCTGAATGTGACTGAGAGCGGAGAGGAGCCGATGGGGAGCGGCGGTGGGCGGAGTGCCGAGGGCCCACCGGCGCAGGGCTGTCTTCACTGCTGCTCTGCGGTCCTCATCGACAGTGACTGAGTCAACAGCGGCGGCCGCGGACCGGCCCCCCAGAGGCCGACGCGGCCAGCCCACGGCGGCGGCCGCCAGCCGGCCCACACGACACAATCAAAATACGAGCGGCGCGTGCATGGACGTTTTTCACGGGCTCTGGCTGAGACCGGCCGGGCCGCCGGACCGTGACGAGCGCGGCGAGCGCGTGACGCGACGTGACGTGTACATACCAATACTTCGTCTTATCATTGTTACAAATCACTTTCGATTTGCCATTCATTTGTTGTGAAATATGATCGAATCTTGTTTTTGAACCAATACATATTGGGATTAATATGGGGTTTCTTTGTTACAATGGCCTCTGCGAATCTCATCGGATACACTGTGACGGAATGTAAAACTGAAAAATGTGTCACCTAACACACAAACTGCTCTGGCGAAGATACGCAAGTCAAAAACTTTGCTGAAGAAACACGTAAAATGGCCCACTAACACAATAAGCAGTTTTCTTGTTAAGCTGCGAGTCCCGAAGCAATTCATATGCAACTCAGAACGCTGCACAGTGGCAGGCCCTCACAAGTCACATTGAGCTAAAATACCAGGAACCAAGCGATAGGCTGTCAGCTCAGATTTAAAAATCGGCCTTGGCTCTTCACCTCCCACCAACAGACGCTAGCTGACTAAAATCGCCGTCCGCCTCACCGAATTAGTCTCCCTAAACTCGATACACTGGTAGCTGCCTCAGCGGGCAGCGCGGACCGAGTCCCCATCCAAGGACCGCCTCACTCGCGGTGAATGGAGAGTATGGAGAGGTCCACCGTCCTTCCAGAGACCCTCCTGGCGCCCCAGCCGAGCCGGCCGACTGCTGGCGGCCGTCGAAAAGGCTCTCTCTCCTCGCGTGCGGGGTGTTCGGAAACAATAAGCGTCTCACGCATCGGCCGAACGCCGTCAGCGGAGAGCGCGCCGGGGAGGCGGCGTAACGGGGACTGGCGGGGGAGTGGACAGGCCGGGGACTGGTGGAACCGGGGGACTGGTGGGGGAGTGGACAGGCCGGGGACTGGTGGGGAGTGGACAGGCCGGGGACTGGTGGGGAGTGGACAGGCCGGGGAAGTGGACAGGCCGGGAACTGGTGGAACCGGGGGACTGGTGGGGGAGTGGACAGGCCGGGGACTGGTGGAACCCGGGGACTGGCGGGGGAGTGGACAGGCCGGGAACTGGTGGAACCGGGGGACTGGTGGGGGAGTGGACAGGCCGGGGACTGGTGGGGGAGTGGACAGGCCGGGAACTGGTGGAACCGGGGGACTGGTGGGGGAGTGGACAGGCCGGGGACTGGTGGAACCCGGGGACTGGCGGGGGAGTGGACAGGCCGGGAACTGGTGGAACCGGGGGACTGGTGGGGGAGTGGACAGGCCGGGAACTGGCGGGGGAGTGGACAGGCCGGGAACTGGTGGAACCGGGGGACTGGCGGGGGAGTGGACAGGCCGGGGACTGGTGGAACCGGGGGACTGGTGGGGGAGTGGACAGGCCGGGAACTGGTGGAACCGGGGGACTGGTGGGGGAGTGGACAGGCCGGGGACTGGTGGGGGAGTGGTCAGGTCGGGGACTGGCGGGGGAGTGGACAGGCCGGGAACTGGCGGGGAAGTGGACAGGCCGGGGACTGGTGGAACCGGGGGACTGGTGGGGGAGTGGACGGGCCGGGGACTGGTGGAACCGGGGGACTGGTGGGGGAGTGGACAGGCCGGGGACTGGTGGGGGAGTGGACAGGCCGGGAACTGGTGGAACCGGGGGACTGGTGGGGGAGTGGACAGGCCGGGAACTGGTGGAACCGGGGGACTGGTGGGGGAGTGGACAGGCCGGGAACTGGTGGAACCGGGGGACTGGCGGGGGAGTGGACAGGCCGGGGACTGGTGGGGGAGTGGTCAGGTCGGGGACTGGTGGAACCGGGGGACTGGTGGGGGAGTGGACAGGCCGGGAACTGGTGGAACCGGGGGACTGGCGGGGGAGTGGACAGGCCGGGGACTGGCGGGGGAGTGGACAGGCCGGGAACTGGTGGAACCGGGGGACTGGTGGGGGAGTGGACAGGCCGGGGACTGGTGGGGGAGTGGTCAGGTCGGGGACTGGTGGGGGAGTGGACAGGCCGGGGACTGGTGGGGGAGTGGACAGGCCGGGGACTGGTGGAACCGGGGGACTGGCGGGGGAGTGGACAGGCCGGGGACTGGTGGAACCGGGGGACTGGTGGGGGAGTGGACAGGCCGGGGACTGGGAAGTGGACAGGCCGGGGACTGGTGGAACCGGGGGACTGGTGGGGGAGTGGACAGGCCGGGGACTGGTGGGGGAGTGGACAGGCCGGGAACTGGTGGAACCGGGGGACTGGTGGGGGAGTGGACAGGCCGGGGACTGGTGGAACCGGGGGACTGGTGGGGGAGTGGACAGGCCGGGAACTGGTGGAACCGGGGGACTGGTGGGGGAGTGGACAGGCCGGGGACTGGTGGGGGAGTGGTCAGGTCGGGGACTGGTGGGGGAGTGGACAGGCCGGGGACTGGTGGGGGAGTGGACAGGCCGGGGACTGGTGGGGGAGTGGACAGGTCGGGGACTGGTGGAACCGGGGCACTGGTGGGGGAGTGGACAGGCCGGGGACTGGTGGAACCGGGGGACTGGTGGGGGAGTGGACAGGCCGGGAACTGGTGGAACCGGGGGACTGGTGGGGGAGTGGACAGGCCGGGGACTGGTGGAACCGGGGGACTGGTGGGGGAGTGGACAGGCCGGGGACTGGTGGAACCGGGGGACTGGTGGGGGAGTGGTCAGGCCGGGAACTGGTGGAACCGGGGGACTGGCGGGGGAGTGGACAGGCCGGGAACTGGCGGGGGAGTGGACAGGCCGGGAACTGGTGGAACCGGGGGACTGGTGGGGGAGTGGACAGGCCGGGAACTGGTGGAACCGGGGGACTGGCGGGGGAGTGGACAGGCCGGGGACTGGTGGGGGAGTGGACAGGCCGGGAACTGGTGGAACCGGGGGACTGGTGGGGGAGTGGACAGGCCGGGGACTGGTGGGGGAGTGGTCAGGTCGGGGACTGGTGAAACCGGGGCACTGGTGGGGGAGTGGACAGGCCGGGGACTGGTGGGGGAGTGGTCAGGTCGGGGACTGGTGAAACCGGGGCACTGGTGGGGGAGTGGACAGGCCGGGGACTGGGAAGTGGACAGGACGCGGGATAGGGAAGCGAGATGAGTGGACAGCCGACAGCCTGAGATGAACTGCGAGTCGCGAAGAAGAGACATTTCAATAAATACGAAATCAGTAGAGGGTATAAAAGGAAATTTGCAGCTTATGTAAGAAGACTGGGGCGTATTAGCCTTGACATGACCATTTTCATCCTCAAGACGAGCTCAGTTCCTTTATCTTGAATTATATTTATTATATTTGGCGGCCCTGGTGGCGCAGTCGGTTAAGGCGTCGACCCGCGGTGCGGGCGGTGCCGGGTTTCGGGTTCGATTCCCGGTTCCGCCCGTTCCGCGGGCGTCGTCCCCGGCTGTGTCACCAGGTGTGGGGTAGGCTCCCACTTCAGCCGTAGCCTGGGGGGTGGGGGAACAAGGGCCAGGAGGAGGAGGAGCCCTCCTGTAATTGGGCCATAAGTGCCCGTTGGAGGGAGGCCTGAATAAAATAAAAAAAAATAGAAATATTTACACAAAGCCTGTATAGCGCACGGCGAACCGTCCGTTACATTGCCTGTCACTCCGACACGACTGTACAAAAAGGCAACTCATTTCGCTGCCGTTCCGCCGCTACGCTCGCGTGTGGAGCGGCGGCCGCTGACGGCAGAGCTCTGGCGTGTCCTCTACGCTGCACGGCCTCTCCCATACGTCCGTGAAGCCGCTCTGTCATATCCGGCTCCGCGGCATTATTTCCGCTCCACAACTGCACTGCCCCCCGTCCTAGCCAACTGTCAGAGGAGTGAGACCCTTTTGTGCGTTACTGCGCGGGCGGCCCACAAGCGGGGGCAGGAGTAAGCAATGTGACGGGTGGCTGGGGAGCGTTTTATTTTCACGGTGCCGCGCGCTGCGAGTGGTCTGTGAGTTCAGACGCCGCTTACATTACACTGGGGAGCACTCGGTCGTTCCGCGCCAGTTCGACTTCATTAGCATTATAGTCGGACAGCGGAGATCTCCTAAATTGGACCTTCAGATACAGCGCCCGCCCTAGTCCAACCTCATCAGAACAGTTGATCGCAGCGACTAGCTTGCATGAGCTACTAATTCTCTATCAGCAAGACTATAAACCACAGTTAAAGTCTTCGTTCAAAATTCAGAAAATGGAAGGATTGCAACTTTTAAAACAATGTCAATGTATTCCCTACAATCGGTGGAGGCAATAACATGATTATCACATATCTTTTGGTATGTGAGTTACCATATCATATCAACCATAACAAATAACAGAACAGTAACAAACGCAGTTAAATAACGTAATACTGACTATGTTTCACGGACCAGATAGCGTAACAACTTGATACGTACCAAACTACCAACGTAACAACGTATCGGCACGTACCAACGTAACAAAGTATCGGCACGTGCCAACGTAGCAAAGTATCGGCACGTAACAACGTAACAAAGTATCGGCACGCACGTACCAACGTACTTGACACAAAGGCGAGCCAATTGACCTGACTTTATCCCGGCCACACAGAAACAAAGAAACAATCCTTCTGCAACAGCGAATAAACACGGCACAACCAGGGACATGGCTGCAACAGGACAATGTCGCCTCAGATACCACGGTGCACAACTCAGGCAGGCTTCACTTCTGGGCGAGGTGAGGCACTTACCACCCAGCTGCTAAGCCGCTGATCCGCACTGCTTCCATGGGCAGTTCGGTGCCACCATGGACCGCGCACACTGCTGTTTTGGACCGTTCACTTTGCCGTTTTGCACTGGGTTTTGAGCAGCCTCCTCAGCCGCTCCAGGCGAGGTCTGGGCTCCTGCAGGCGAGAGACCGCCACACGTCACAGGCAGCAGCAGCCAACAGGACTGGTGCACGAACAGGACAGGCCAGACACCGCCGCACGTCACAGGCAGCAGCAGCCAACAGGACTGGTGCACGAACAGGACAGGCCAGACACCGCCGCACGTCACAGGCAGCAGCAGCCAACAGGACTGGTGCACGAACAGGATAGGCCAGAGGACGTGCATAAATACATGAACCAATGCTGTGTTTTCGGTTCCAGCACCTTCTTTCGGCACTTCGGCAACAAGTAAGTACTCCGTTAGCTTTGCCACATCTAAGATAGGCTTCCACATTGTTATTTGCTCCCGGGTTAACATAAACCGGTTTAACGTAACTTTTGCATCCCGGCCAAAATTGCCGGATTAACTGTCCCACCGCTCGAGACTGGCGCTAGGCTGGCCGAGCAAAAAAAAAAAACCGCCGCACGTCACAGGCAGCAAATACCAACAGGACTGGTGCGGGAACAGGAGAGGCCAGACACCGCCACACGTTACAGGCAGCAAATACCAACATGACTCATGGTGCAAGAACAGGACATGTAACCGGATGAGGGATCTTCGACAAACACCATAACAAAACCTAGCCAAAATTCAGCATCATAATCAGTGATCTCTGCCAGTGTCCTATTTCACAGTCAGCTCGGAGTCATTTTGTTCCGAGCTGCCGACCCGAGGAACGGAGAGACTGGCAGTCGAGGGACCCTCTCTCCACCACCATACGTTCCGGTGTGTCACAACTTTTGGTACGATTAGCGGAGTCTAATAAAACCTCAGGTAGCCGGAAGTATCGGCAGACTGACCTGAGGCGCCGGCCGGCAGTATCTGAGGACTGACCTGAGGGGCGGCCGGCGCCCGGCAGTATCTGAGGACTGACCTGAGGGGCAGCCGGCGCCCGGCAGTTACTGCAGACTGACCTGAGGGCCGGCCGGCAGTTACTGCAGACTGACCTGAGGGGCGGCCGGCGCCCGGCAGTATCTGAGGACTGACCTGGGGGGCGGGCTGAGCGGGGGGAGAGGCCGGCAGTATCTGAGGACTGACCTGAGGGGCGACCGGCAGCCGGCAGTACCTATCTGCGCACTGACCTGAGGGGCGGCCGGCAGTATCTGCGGACTGACCTGAGGGGCAGCCGGCAGTATCTGCGGACTGACCTGAGGGGCGGCCGGCGCCCGGCAGTATCTGAGGACTGACCTGGGGGGCGGGCTGAGCGGGGGGAGAGGCCGGCAGTATCTGAGGACTGACCTGAGGGGCAGCCGGCGCCCGGCAGTTACTGCAGACTGACCTGAGGGGCAGCCGGCGCCCGGCAGTTACTGCAGACTGACCTGAGGGGCAGCCGGCGCCCGGCAGTTACTGCAGACTGACCTGAGTGGCAGCCGGCGCCCGGCAGTTACTGCAGACTGACCTGAGCTGGGGCGGCCGGCAGTTACTGCAGACTGACCTGAGGGGCAGCCGGCAGTTACTGCAGACTGACCTGAGGGGCGCCCGGCAGTTACTGCAGACTGACCTGAGGGGCAGCCGGCAGTCGGGAGCAGACAACCAGAGGCACCACGGACGGCCGGCCGTGGGCACACACCAGCGGCCGGCGACACCGACTCAGCTGGGCCACCAGACGCTCACAGGCGGTCAGGGGCAGCGAGTCCCCGAACCGCACCGCCGCTGTGACATATACAGACAGGGACAGGGACCAGGCGGTCAGGGGCAGCGGGTCCCCGAACCGCACAGCCGCTGTGACATATACAGACAGGGACAGGGACCAGGCGGTCAGGGGCAGCGGGTCCCCGAACCGCACCGCCGCTGTGACATATACAGACAGGGACAGGGACCAGGCGGTCAGGGGCAGCGGGTCCCCGAACCGCACCGCCGCTGTGACATATACAGACAGGGACAGGGACCAGGCGGTCAGGGGCAGCGGGTCCCCGAACCGCACCGCCGCTGTGACATATACAGACAGGGACAGGGACCAGGCGGTCAGGGGCAGCGAGTCCCCGAACCGCACCGCCGCTGTGACATATACAGACAGGGACAGGGACCAGGCGGTCAGGGGCAGCGAGTCCCCGAACCGCACCGCCGCTGTGACATATACAGACAGGGACAGGGACCAGGCGGTCAGGGGCAGCGGGTCCCCGAACCGCACCGCCGCTGTGACATATACAGACAGGGACAGGGACCAGGCGGTCAGGGGCAGCGGGTCCCCGAACCGCACAGCCGCTGTGACATATACAGACAGGGACAGGGACCAGGCGGTCAGGGGCAGCGGGTCCCCGAACCGCACCGCCGCTGTGACATATACAGACAGGGACAGGGACCAGGCGGTCAGGGGCAGCGGGTCCCCGAACCGCACAGCCGCTGTGACATATACAGACAGGGACAGGGACCAGGCGGTCAGGGGCAGCGGGTCCCCGAACCGCACAGCCGCTGTGACATATACAGACAGGGACAGGGACCAGGCGGTCAGGGGCAGCGGGTCCCCGAACCGCACCGCCGCTGTGACATATACAGACAGGGACAGGGACCAGGCGGTCAGGGGCAGCGGGTCCCCGAACCGCACCGCCGCTGTGACATATACAGACAGGGACAGGGACCAGGCGGTCAGGGGCAGCGGGTCCCCGAACCGCACAGCCGCTGTGACATATACAGACAGGGACAGGGACCAGGCGGTCAGGGGCAGCGGGTCCCCGAACCGCACCGCCGCTGTGACATATACAGACAGGGACAGGGACCAGGCGGTCAGGGGCAGCGGGTCCCCGAACCGCACCGCCGCTGTGACATATACAGACAGGGACAGGGACCAGGCGGTCAGGGGCAGCGGGTCCCCGAACCGCACCGCCGCTGTGACATATACAGACAGGGACAGGGACCAGGCGGTCAGGGGCAGCGGGTCCCCGAACCGCACCGCCGCTGTGACATATACAGACAGGGACAGGGACCAGGCGGTCAGGGGCAGCGGGTCCCCGAACCGCACCGCCGCTGTGACATATACAGACAGGGACAGGGACCAGGCGGTCAGGGGCAGCGGGTCCCCGAACCGCACCGCCGCTGTGACATATACAGACAGGGACAGGGACCAGGCGGTCAGGGGCAGCGGGTCCCCGAACCGCACCGCCGCTGTGACATATACAGACAGGGACAGGGACCAGGCGGTCAGGGGCAGCGGGTCCCCGAACCGCACCGCCGCTGTGACATATACAGACAGGGACAGGGACCAGGCGGTCAGGGGCAGCGGGTCCCCGAACCGCACCGCCGCTGTGACATATACAGACAGGGACAGGGACCAGGCGGTCAGGGGCAGCGGGTCCCCGAACCGCACCGCCGCTGTGACATATATTGACAGGGACAGGGACCAGGCGGTCAGGGGCAGCGGGTCCCCGAACCGCACCGCCGCTGTGACATATACAGACAGGGACAGGGACCAGGCGGTCAGGGGCAGCGGGTCACCGAAACGCACAGCCGCTGTGACATATATTGACAGGGACAGGGACCAGGCGGTCAGGGGCAGCGGGTCCCCGAACCGCACCGCCGCTGTGACATATACAGACAGGGACAGGGACCAGGCGGTCAGGGGCAGCGGGTCCCCGAACCGCACAGCCGCTGTGACATATATTGACAGGGACAGGGACCAGGCGGTCAGGGGCAGCGGGTCCCCGAACCGCACAGCCGCTGTGACATATATTGACAGGGACAGGGACCAGGCGGTCAGGGGCAGCGGGTCCCCGAACCGCACCGCCGCTGTGACATATATTGACAGGGACAGGGACCAGGCGGTCAGGGGCAGCGGGTCCCCGAACCGCACCGCCGCTGTGACATATACAGACAGGGACAGGGACCAGGCGGTCAGGGGCAGCGGGTCCCCGAACCGCACAGCCGCTGTGACATATATTGACAGGGACAGGGACCAGGCGGTCAGGGGCAGCGGGTCCCCGAACCGCACCGCCGCTGTGACATATACAGACAGGGACAGGGACCAGGCGGTCAGGGGCAGCGGGTCCCCGAACCGCACAGCCGCTGTGACATATATTGACAGGGACAGGGACCAGGCGGTCAGGGGCAGCGGGTCCCCGAACCGCACCGCCGCTGTGACATATACAGACAGGGACAGGGACCAGGCGGTCAGGGGCAGCGGGTCCCCGAACCGCACAGCCGCTGTGACATATATTGACAGGGACAGGGACCAGGCGGTCAGGGGCAGCGGGTCCCCGAACCGCACAGCCGCTGTGACATATATTGACAGGGACAGGGACTAGGCGGTCAGGGGCAGCGGGTCCCCGAACCGCACCGCCGCTGTGACATATACAGACAGGGACAGGGACCAGGCGGTCAGGGGCAGCGGGTCCCCGAACCGCACCGCCGCTGTGACATATATTGACAGGGACAGGGACCAGGCGGTCAGGGGCAGCGGGTCACCGAACCGCACCGCCGCTGTGACATATATTGACAGGGACAGGGACCAGGCGGTCAGGGGCAGCGGGTCCCCGAACCGCACAGCCGCTGTGACATATATTGACAGGGACAGGGACCAGGCGGTCAGGGGCAGCGGGTCACCGAACCGCACCGCCGCTGTGACATATATTGACAGGGACAGGGACCAGGCGGTCAGGGGCAGCGGGTCCCCGAACCGCACAGCCGCTGTGACATATATTGACAGGGACAGGGACCAGGCGGTCAGGGGCAGCGGGTCCCCGAACCGCACAGCCGCTGTGACATATATTGACAGGGACAGGGACCAGGCGGTCAGGGGCAGCGGGTCCCCGAACCGCACCGCCGCTGTGACATATACAGACAGGGACAGGGACCAGGCGGTCAGGGGCAGCGGGTCCCCGAACCGCACAGCCGCTGTGACATATATTGACAGGGACAGGGACCAGGCGGTCAGGGGCAGCGGGTCCCCGAACCGCACCGCCGCTGTGACATATACAGACAGGGACAGGGACCAGGCGGTCAGGGGCAGCGGGTCCCCGAACCGCACAGCCGCTGTGACATA